ATATTTTTAGTTTCTCAATTTATAATATATGTACATTTTATGTTCCGTAACTTAAACTTCAAAGCTAAAAATATGTATATTTGGATATATTTAATGGATTGACTAATAAAAAAATTTAAAATTATATCTTCAACGTCAAGCACCAGCCTCACCCTCTGTCGTGCTTCTGTGACCGCGATTGACGCTAGTTGCTGTAAGATTCCAGAAACGAGTGAATAGCCTACTTCCTGTTTGGGCAACTTTGCAGTCCAACACTGTTGAAGTTCTTAGCTGCTTCCACACTTGAAAATCCCGAGGTTGTTTTCTCGGGGAAAACACTCTGACGCTCAAGTCAGCAATACTCAATGTTATAAAGAGAGAAGCTCTCAAGGAGTAATTGCAGAGAAAGAAGCGTAGAGATTAATTACCTTCATCGGAGGTAGTTGGGGGGTATTTATAGCCCCTTGGTGCTGACATACATCTGCACATGTAAGCATCCCCTTGGCCTTGGTCACGTGGGTATGCTTGTACTGATGCTCCTTCAGCTTGGGCTAATGGGTGGTAACCTAGGCCCGTTATGCACAGCCCTGTTTGGGTGTTGGGCCTGTTGGGCCTATTCCAACATTACTCCCCCCTTGGTGTTCGGTTGACGAACTGGGATGGATGTGACCGTGGGTCAACGTTCTAGCTGGTGACTATGACGGACAGCTTTAATAGCTTACGGCCGACCGCAGCGATGGCAGAGCTGAAAGGTAATACGAAAAGAGGCCAGCTCGCGAGCCTGCAAGCGTGGAGGCGAGCTGATATCCTTAGCCGCACTAGCCGCACTAGTGAGGGCTTATGATGGCAGCAGGCTGAAATGGTTCACAATGGATGAGCTCGCCCAGGGAGCAGCCATGTACATAACACCATTTCAGCGAGCTCGTCCACGTTAACGTGAGCGCCGGAGGGCATGTGGCGACCTGACCCCTGAGTACTACCGGAGTGCGACCAGAGGATGCTCAGTCAGCCATGATCGCGAGCTGAGGAAACGCAGCCTCACCCGCAGTGCGACCTGAGGTACCCATTGGTCTGTAAAAAGGTCTGTGGCCCGTCGTGAGTTGCAACCCATGTAACGACCTGGTAAAAGTGGTTGTCGCCACGATCTGTGACGAGCTGAATCTTGGGGAATTTTAGTAAACGATCTACAATTGTGGACGAATTGTCGCGGTTAAGCCGACCTGGCAAATACGTCACGTTTTTCACGACCTGGTAAGTGTGCTCGCAGTGGCGAGCTGATGCGACGGGATAGGGTACACATCAGCTATTACGATCTGAATCTTGCGGATTTTGAAATTCCATCAGATCTCTGAGATCTCTGAGGAGATACGATTGATCTGCCCGTATCGCTCTGTCTTCCCCGTCATAAATGCTGGCTCAGCATTTGAGGGACGTGACAGCTAAAGCCGGTGCACGATATGCAGAAGGGGCGTTAAGCGTGTGCCACGTGTAGGACGCGAATTGGCGCGTCAGAAACACGCGTACGACAATTAACACTGCCATATTTCCCTTTGCGTAACCGTTTCCTTTTCCATTTTCACTTCTGCGTTTGCTTGAAACCTTCTGAAACTCTCCAAAGCGAGACACTCCGGTCTTGAAGAACAGGATACCGAACCAACTTCACGTCATTTTCAGGTAAAATGGTTTCGTTGAGAGAACTTTCGGAGCTACGAGGTAACCAGGGTGGAGACGGAGAAGAGGAGGGGGTTTTATTGGTGGAGCCTATCACGATGATAGTGCCGCCTGAGTTGCAGGATTCGCAGGAAACAATGGCGCCTGAGGGAAACGCCAGTTCGAGCGCTAGGGATGACGGTGGCGACCACCATGTTGCACCGTCGAGCAGCTCGTCCTCAGAAAAGACACCCAGCCACGAGGAAGGGATGGGGGATGTGGTTAGCCATGTCTCAGATCGGCCCATGATTGGTGAGTGGGAGAGCAGGACAATCACGGGCAGGTTGGACAACCTGCGAAAGGCACCCAAGGACCTGCCCACTGGATTTAGGTTCCGGGCCGCGCTTCATCATGAAGTAGCAGACTGCACGCCCTCAATCAGCAGGTATAGAAAATTGGAGGATATAGTGAGGGCGTACCACATTCCCCGGACAATACTGTTACGAACAGGCGCACCAAATGAGAGGGCTTGCATGGTGTCACAGACGGGCTGGATCCCAGTGTATGTGGACCACTTTGATGTTGGCCTGCGGTTTCCCCTGCCCGGATTGGTGTTCGATCTGCTGGCGGATTACGAGCTGGCACTGACGCAGCTGACGCCCAACAGCATAAGGTTTATCATTGGCTTTATGCTGTTGTGTGAGCGATTAGAGGTACCGGCCAAGGCGATCGTGTTCAGGTCGCTGTTTCAATGCCTGCTGTGTCCCAACTCCCGAGGCGCGAAGTGGCACTACCTCTCCGGGAGAGACAAGAGCCAGTTGTTCAAGAATGTCCGGAACAAAGTGGCGAGGTGGAAGAGGCAATTTATATTTGTTTGCGACACGCGAACGGAGAGGATAAGCAACGACCTCGCTGCCTGGCTATCCGAGTGGCGTGTGCCCAATGCACACGTCAACTACCCTCAATTACTGCCACGGGACACAGACCTCAAAAATCAGCTACTGGACAATGCGAGGAGGGAGAATCTGATAGATCTAAACGCCCTGGTTACCTCGGAGCAGCTCACTGTGTTCAGGTTTGTCGATGTGGCAAACCTGTTCACTGAAGGTATACATTTATCGCATATTCTGAATTCTAGCCGAGCTGAGTCTTATGTATTTGTTTGTGCAGGAGAAATGAGCAGTATATTGGAGCGCCAACGTCAGCGAGCCCAGAGCTCCCGAGGTCCCGAGCCGGGCAGCACCTCGCAGAGACAAACGTGGTTCGACTAACGACCGCCAGCCGCGCCTCAATCGCGCAGCTCGTCCCAGCGAGGGTCCAACTCTACATCTAGGCCGCGGGCTGAACACAGAGCTGAGGTTGCGGCCCCGAGTGCATGTAGACATGCACGCGAGGAGACGAAGAGCGAGGAAGATGAGGCCCCCCTTGCTCGGCGCAGAACAAGCGGGGGGACTCAGCTCGCGTAGGCGACTCGTCCTGCAACCATGCGTTCACCCAATGCGCCGTTAGCTACTACACGGGCAGCAGTTGAGCCTGCCACTACATCAGCTTCGATGTCGGACCCCAAGATTGCTTATCCTGAGGGCTTCAGCTATGTGCGGGCGGAGTGCCAGCCCGCCATGGTGCAAGGCATGCACAGCTTTGTGCCCCCCATGGATAGTAAGCGGGCAAAAGCTTTTGTGCAGCAGCATGGCGGGTAGGTCGCCATGATAAAACTGATGGATGTAAGTATCTGCTCGTACCTGCTTGAATGTTTTGCTTTTCCTTTTTAGAGACTAACAGTGACCACTGTTTGGCAGGCGTTCAGCTACGCAGTAGCGCTGTACGAGAGCGAGCAGGGGGCTTGTACAGAGAACCGCGAGCTCGGCTCAAAGTGCAAACAGCTGGCCGCGGAGAAGGCTAGCCTTGTGGACGATGTGAATCGTCTGCAAGGCTCTGAAATGGCGAACCGAGCTGCGGCTGCAGAGAGCCGAGCGGACGAGCTCGCCAATAGGATCAATGAGCTCAAGGAGGAGCTAGAGCGAGCCCATGCGGAGAGAGAAAGTGGGATTCAAGCGGCAAAGGACGAGGCCGCTCGGGTTGAAGAGCGGGCCAAGAAGGCTGAGGACGAGAGGGACCGTGCTCAGACCGAGCTGGGTTCCCTGAGGTTCCAGGTCGCTGAGGCTGACAAGAACCTCAGCGCTACCGAAGAAGCACTGAACGCATTGAAGGCATCTCATGCGCGCTCCATTGGTATTGCCCGAGCTCAAGGGGCAGAATGGTTGGTTGGCTCGTCCACGTTCCAAGACGCACTGGCGGTGGCATTTGCAAACGTAACCACGGAGATCTACAATGAGATTCGTGGGAAGGTGCTGCACCACCGCCCAGATTTTCCAATTCGCGAGCTGGTGTTCTTTGACGAGGAGGAGCTTGACGACCAGGGTAAGAGCCTTGCTCCCCTTGCTGACACAACTGTGAGGCTGAGATGGGATTTAAACAAGGAGGGCGTGCCCGTCTGGCCACCGTCCGTGCTGGAGGACGGGGAAGATCCAGCAGGGCTGCCCTCATTTGACGCATGGGTAGAGGGGTGCTCTGGTAGCTGAGCGGGAGCCTTCAAGCACCCCACCCAACTCTCAGCCCACGGTGGTGCCAGCCAGCTCGCCCGTCCGTGCACCAGTTTCTGAGCGCGCAGCCCGGTCTCTTCCAGCTCACTCTCCTGCAGCTGCTGCTGATGCATCCATGCCCGTCGACCTGACGGATGACTAGACTTAGGGTTTTTTCTTTTTGTCTTTTGTATTTTCTTTTGCTTACTTGTATTGATCAATGACATTATATGTCATGTACCTCAACTGTAAATGATCATTGATGAAATACAAATTGAATTCCCTTTTTGAACTTTCTGTGTTTTGATTTCTCTATAAAATGCCATTTACAACTGATCCATGACGGCCTAAACGCTAATAACATACACGTTAACTGTACAGCTAACTCTTAACTGTAAAACTTTCTAAGGTTATGTATGTTCCAAATGAATGGTAATGGACGACCTTGTAAATCTGCTAACCGGTAAGACCCAGGTCATTGAATAGAAATAACCATATAAGGTCCTTCCCAATTAGGCGCGAGCTTGCCCATGTGCGAGTAAGCATTCGTCAATCCAGCTTTGCGTACAACCAGATCGCCGACTTGAAACTGGCGAGCTCGAACTCTTTTATTATAAAACTTTGCAACACGACTTTGATGCGCCATGTTTCTTATTCTAGATATCTCCCTAACCTCTTCCACGAAGTCTAGGTTTTCTCTCAACAGTTGCTCATTGTTGAGATCGTCATGCCAGCCTGCTCGATCAGATGGCAATCCCACCTTTACCGGGATGACGGCCTCAGCTCTATAGGCCAAGCTGAAGGGGGTTTCGCCCGTGGCCGAGCTGGGAGTAGTACGACATGACCAAAGCACTTTGTTGAGCTCGTCAACCCAACTAGAATGTGCAACCAAAACACGCGTCTTGAGGCCTCACAAGATGATTTTATTGGCGAACTCGGCTTGTCCGTTGAACTGTGGAGTATACACGGACGTCAAGGCAAGCTCAATGCCATAGTCGTTACAAAACGATCTTAGTGCTGCTGCTCGGAACTGCGGCCCATTGTCAGCGATAATCCACTTAGGTATGCCGAACCTGCACACAGATGAGCAAGCTGAGCTACAAATCCCGTTTGCATATATTTTATGACCTCGGTCATCAAAGAATACTTGCACAATATTGAATTGAACAAGAATTCTTCTATTTTCCTTTCTGTTGTCGTGAACAGCGGTTTAGCTTTTATCCACTTAATGAAGTAATCCACTGCAACGACCAGGAAAGTGCATCCTCATTTGCCTTTGATAAAAGGGCCGAGCAGGTCGACACCCTATTGAGCAAAGGGTCAGGGAGACGTGAAAGATGATAGCATTTCCCTTGTTTCAAGGAAGATACCTATGCTTAGTTTAGAGACAAACACGGGGTTTGCATGTTCTTTAGAATAGGCTCAGATACCTGGCATGTGTATATCATCAGCATTGAACTGGCAGGTCGGACATTTTCTGACATAACTCTGAGCGTCCTCGACCACAGTGGGCCAGTAATACCCATGTCTCAGGAGTTTCCGAGCTAAAGTTTTACCACCGATGTGCGTGCCACATACTCCTTCGTGAACTTCTCTCACAACGTATTCAGTTTCGTAAGGAGTAAAGCAGCGTAATAGGGGCATTGAGGTTGCTAGTTTGTAGAGCTGGTTATCTAACAAAGTGAAATGTGCTGCCCTTCGTTTAATCAATTTCGCGGTGGACGGATCTTCAGGCAACTCGCCACTTTGCAGATAATTTATGAGTGCGGTAGTCTAGCTCGGTGTAGAGGGATCCGTGCTTAGCAGTTGACACTCGACCGTTAAATCAGTGTAGCTCGGGGCGTCCAGCACTTCGACGATGGTTGACCTCTGAGGGTTAAAGTCCCGCGAGGAGGCCAACTTTGACAACTCGTCAGCTCAGTGGTTGTTTGCTCTTGGTATTTTGTCGATCTGGAAAGAGGCAAATCCTGACCTCAATTTATTGACCACAGAAGTATAACGACCAAGCTGAGGATCCCTGATTTCACAGCTGCCTTTTACCTGGCCTACCACGAGCTGAGAGTCGCTGAAGACTTGAATGTTCTGTACCTTCAGCTCGGACGCCAGCTTCAATCCATAAATGAGGGCTTCATACTCTGCAGCATTATTTGTTGTTTGGAACTTAAACCTCAGCGCATGCTCGGATTTAAAGCCATCAGGGCCCAGTAACACAGCTCCAGCACCCGATCCGTCGACATTAGCAACTCCGTCTACGTACAAAACCCAAACTAGGTACTCAGGTGCCTTTTCTTTCACAGTCACCGGGGCACATTCAACCAAGAAGTCTGCCACAGCTTGACCTTTTATAGTCGTGCGCGGTTGAAATTTGAGGTCATACTCACTCAGCTCGACACTCCATCCGATGAGCTGACCAGAGAGTTCTGGCTTCTGCAATATTTTCCTTAGTGGGAAATCAGTATAAAAAACAATCTGATGAGACTGAAAATAAGCTCTCAGCTTACGAGCTGTGCAGACCAAAGCAAAAGCAGCCTTTTCTGCTAGCGGGTAGTTCTGCTCGACACCTTGTAACACTTTGCTCACGTAGCAGATAGGTTTCTGATTCTTATTCTCTTCCTTCAGTAGCACTGAACTCACTGCTTCTTCTGTGACCCCCAGATAAAGATATAAACATTCCCCATCGACAGGCTTGGACAGCAGGGGTGCGGATGCCAAATATTGTTTGAGCTTGTCAAACGCTTGTTGACATTCATCAGTCCACTGGAAGTTTTTAGGCTCCCGCAGAGCTTTGAAGAACGGAAGGCACCTTTCTGCCGATCTGGCTATAAACCTGTGCAACGCAGCTACCCGACCTGTCAGATGCTGTACGTCTTTTACTGTGTTGGGAGGTTCCATCTGCTGAACGGCCTGTACCTTCTCTGGATTTACTTCGATTCCTTTCTTGGATACCACGTACCCTAGGAATTTCCCCGATTCCACAGCAAACGTGCATTTCAAGGGATTCAGCTTCATTTGGGCTCAGCGTAAGTTTTGAAAAGTTTCATCTAGGTCGTCGATGTGATCCTCAGCTCGCACGTTGGTGACTATCATGTCATCTACATACACTTCTATGTTTCTGCCGATCTGAAGCTTAAAGATAATTTGCACCAGCTTCTGGTATGTTGCTCCAGCATTTTTGAGGCCGAACGGCATCATGACATAGCAGTAGATTGCGTCACCAGCGTAAAAAGTTGTTTTTTCCTGGTCGTCTAGCGACAGTTGGACTTGGTGGTAACCCGAGCTGGCGTCAAGAAAACTCATCCGTTCATGTCCTGCTGCCCGTTCTACTAACTTCTCGACGTTTGGCAAGGGATGAGGGTCTTTTGGACACGCATCATTGAGGTTGGTGAAATCAATACACATCCTCCACTTGCCATTTGGCTTTTTGACGAGCACAGGGTTGGACACCCATTCAAAGTACTCGACTCTTCTGATGAAGCTTGCCTGCAACAACTTTTGTATCTCTTCGTCAATGGCAGCTTGCTTCTTAAGGCCAAAAAGGCGACGTTTTTGAACCACTGGCCTTTTGGTGGGGTCCGTGCTGAGCTTGTGGACTGTCAACTCCGCCGGAATGTCGGGCATTTCGTCCGTAGTCCACGCAAACACGTCCTGATTATTCCT